GGGGGTGAGGGGGGTGATCGACCACACACGCGCCAGCGCAGCGAGCTTGCGAGCGCTCTCTCGGGGGCAAGGGTTGACGAAGCAAGGGAAGGGGTAATACTTGTGGCGGGACGCTCGATTTGGCACCGGCACCGTACACACACACACACGCTTACACATGTGAGGAAAGAGAAAAAAAAACGGAGGGGTTGAAAGGGTAAAGCATCACATATAAAAAAAAATACCACCACCACACACTATTCTATCGGTCTAATAGTCAATGGAGAGAAAAATATCTCTTCCTCACTTGTTTGCCGATGTAATTGGCGACTGATCGTCGTCGTCGTCGTCGTCGACGTGGTTGGTTAGGAGGTATACAAGGGGGGAGGGGAAGGGATATAGGGTCAAGCTGAATGGCCAGTTTGTGATACAGACGTCACACACACACACACACACACACATCCGCACCGGAAGGGGAGGGAAGGGTTAACCGCGCTGTCGTGGCGTGGCGTGTCCAGCGCCGCCGCGGAAACGTTTCACATCTCACTTACTCCCTGACCACTGTTAAAAACATCGTCGTAAGTTTACAAAATTCTTGAAAACTCGAATTATAATTTAAGTTGTAAAATTTACAAGAGCACATTTTTAACTCGCCAATGGATTTTACGTCGATACGTCCTGCATATATTTTTTTTATGATTACAAATTGTAATTTTACAACTTTGCGCGGTGAAAGACAAGTGTTAAAATTTCTAAAAATTTCCTCTGTATTCTGCCCCCTGTGATTGAACGCTACTTAAATTTATCTCTCTCTTCTTTTTTCGTCTGCTGGTAAATTAAATAGAACGTGTTTTTGTTTGTTTCGTTATTTTTTAATTTTTTTGCCGTGCGTTTGCCCTTGTTGCCTTTCCCCTAATCGGTCTCATTTTCCTTTTCGAAGTAGTGCAGAGCGGGACGGCCGGGGCCGGGGCCGCCGGGGCGGGGTTGCGCCGCGGGTGGGACGGAGACGGATGGCACTGCCCAGCCCATCGCCGCGGGCGGGGCGCAGCGCAAAAGCGGCGAGCACGGCGAGTGCGAGAGAGAAGGTGGTGGTGGTGGTCGTGGTGCAGGTCAAACCTTACGAGGGGAGGGGAGGGGAAGAGGAAGAATCGTATCGGGCGGGGGTCTTTTGTGTCGCGTGAAGGCCAAAGTGGGGTCTCTATGCAGAGCAGAAGTTGTAGTGAATGCGGCCGGCGCATCGCGGCGGCAGCAGCGGGGGTGCGACCCGGCGGCGGGGCGGGGCGGGGCGGAGCTGGGTGCACGGACTGAAGTATGTATGCGCACACCATGCGCACTGCTGCCTGCCAGTTCAAGTGTGCGGCGCAATGGGGGCGTTTCGCGGAAACGGAAACGCGGGTCAATGGGTAGGGTACGCGCGGGAGCGCACGGAGTGGATATTGGACCCGCTAGTGCCCCTGGAAATGCTGCTAACCGCGCGTGTTCAGATAAAAGTAAATCAAATAAAAACCCAGCGAATTTTGCTCAAAATTTTGCCAACAATGGCCATTTTTTTTTGTTCTTTTCTTGTGTTTTTTAAGTTTGAGTGTTTTTTTTAATGGTTGGTTGTATTTAGATCTTAATAGTCAGCAGCATTTCCGAATTATAACCTCCAATTTCAAGCTATTATGTATTTATGTTCAGCATATGTGTGTTTCTGAACAAACATTCACGTTTGCGGCGCCAATTCATGAAAAGGCGCTACAGTGCCGTCCGTTCCGTTTCTTTGAAAGGCGATATGACCGAGAGACGCACTTGCAGGCGTGCAACTGCTCAGCATGATGAACACGACAACTGTTGCTCCAGTTCGTCGCCCCGGGCGGGGTCCCCGCTGCACCACAGTGTTATGTCATTGTTTCGCATAACCCCCACCAATAGCAGCAAAGCAAAGCGTCACTGACCCCCATAAATCTCTCTCTCTCTCTTCTCGCCCAGGACGGAAATAAACAGATTCAGGTCTTTTCCAAAAGGCGTGGTGGTGTGTCGTGGCGCGGCGCGGTCCGACCGAGGTGAACGCATTTATTTCGCAAAGTGCAAAGTTATAGTGAGGCCAGCAGGCAAAGCAAATGCACCGGGCGCAGTCATGCAGAGGGGGGAGGAGCCGGTACAATGCGCATTCATCGCAAACGAAATGGGAGCAGCACAGCGCAAGCTATGGTGCCCCCCCCTCCCCC